TCTTTGTATGTATAGTAGGCTCACTGCAGTTACCATGTACAAAACCAATCTTCCATAAGTCTTTTCTAATTAGTTATCCATAAGCCCCAGTAAAAAAAGTTCTGGTTTCATCTGAATATTGGTCTTTAGCATTCTTTGTATCATTATATATATTTGTATCCAATTTTTTTTTTTGCTTTTTGCAAGTCCACCATACATGGTAAAATGACCCTTCATGTTTAACATTTTAGATAATTGCTCTGGTGTCATATACCAACGATACATCATCTTATAAAAGTTCTCTCTTAAATTGTAACACAACGTGAATTTCAGTCCTTTTAACCACATTCTTTCCCATTGGTCCATCTGTATATTATAACTGAAATTCTTAGTCCATTTAATCATGCACTCTTTAACTTCTTCTTCTTCCATTTCAAAGCTCAACAAGAGTTTATACGTTTTAGCAATCACATGTTCATCATTTGTATGTAATTCAAGTTCAAATTCTGTTTTTTGTTATTCAATTCCAATTACTTTTTTATCTATATTAAATCTCTTTCTTAATTGTGCATATGAAAACCATTGAAAACTAAATCCCTCTGCAGTCAATTGTTCTCTTGACTTCATTTTAAGTTCCCCATGATCCTGTACTAGTAAATCTCGATATGTTAACCATTTCTCTTTGCCCACTGTCTCTTTTCTATAAAATGCTTCTTGTGCTGAAACCAATAAAGGCATTATCAGGCACAGCTTAGGTTTGTATCTATTCCATATTCTTAGTATGGCACTCCTAACATAATGATTTTTAAAGTTTACATTAACCTTAATTTTGTTGTACCATAAAAAGCCATGCCATCCAAACCTTATGTACTTCTAATTCTATCATTCTTTTATTTCTCAGCAGCACCCACTCTTTCATCCAAAGCAAACAGCTGGCTGCAAAATACAGTTGAAATAGGGCAATCCTAAACCTCCTCTTTCCTTTGCAAGGAAATGGCTAGGCTTGGAAGTAAAAGTAAGCATTGCTTTCTATTCTTATGGTTTCCCTTGGTTGGGGAGTAAAAGCTCTGTACATGGAGAAGCTCATGTGTAGGACTCTTCCACACAAGGGGAAAATTTAGAATGGATACATCAGTAGACACATTCAGCCCTTTCCTTGATGCTCCTGATTTTTCTGTGCACAGGAGTTCTGGATATGGCTCAACAGGAGGTTAGCCAATGCAACCTACAAGTCCCTCACAAAACTCTGTAACCTGTTACTAATTCTGAGCATTGTACCAGAGAACTGGAAAGTGGCCAATGAAGCAGGGCATTACCAGACAGTTAGCATAAAGTTAGTGGAGGTAAATTGATGGAAAGCATGATTAAATATTAAATGTTCAAGGTTATAGAAGTCACACTGAAGATAAATCAACACAAGTTCTGCAAAGAAAATTACTATTTCCTTTTAGATTTCAAAAATCCTTTGACAACGTACTTCCTTTAAAGCTCCCAAAGAATTTTAGACATCATGGGTAAGAGAAGAGGTCCCCTTATAGACTGGTAATTGAGTAGCAAAGAGCAGACAAAGCACAGAAGATATCTGTAGATCCTGAGGTTCCCCAGGAAATCATATTTGGGTTGAAGTGTTTTAACTCACTCATTAATAATGTGGAGTTCAGGATGATCAGTGAGGTGACCAAGTTTTCTAATAATAGAAAATTACTTAGGTTGGTACAATATCTCCAATCTGCTTTTGATTGTCAAGTTGTGGAATGTTCTTAGGAAACTGGGAATCCCAGAACATCTCATTGTCTTCTATTCACAGGACAGAGCCACATTTTGGGTGGACATGGAGAAATAAACTGGCTCCAGGTCAGCAAAGGAGTGAGACAAAGATGTATACTCTCTCCTTGTTTATTCAAACTGTATGCTGAATATATTTTGAGGAGGCTGGATTGGAAGAAGATAAGCTTCAAAGATTGAGAACAAGAGTGGTTCTAAAATTGGAAGAAAAACATCAATAATCTGCATTATTTTGATGACATTATTCTGATAGCTGAAAATGCAAATGATCTGGAAGCTTGGTGATGAACATTAAGGAGCACAGTGGAAAATGGGACTAAAATTAAATATAAAGAAGACCAATCTGATGGCAACAGGCGCAGCGCCCAGTCATAGAACTGACAATAAAGATACTGAATTGGTGGATAGCTTCTGCCTTTTAGGATTGACTATCAACATTAAAGGAACCAGCAGTCAAGAAATACAACATAGACTAGCACCTAGTAGGATAACAATGAAGACTTGGAAAAGATATTCAGATTTGATCAGCCATGATCTATCTATACTACTGTCATGGATGAAGAAGAATCTAGCCAATCCCGAGGAGGAAAGTGGCTAGAATTATAAATACAACAATCACTGGGTTCCATATTACAGAAAAGGAGTAACAGAGAACAATAAAGAGATGGTTTTATAGACATTTTCTTTCAGTCATGGATGAGATTAAAGGTATTTCAGAGAGAGGGGGGAAGCAAGCTTTAGGCTTGTTTAGATTATGTAAATGTTGGAAATTACTAAATTCCTGCCACATTCACAGTGGAAAAATAGAACGAAAATAAATTTTTTATTATTTAAGAAATAATCCATTATTTAAGAAATAATAAATTTCTTGTTAATCAAGTCATAATACCATAAACAACTAAAGGGGCAAAACACATCCAAAGTTCAAAGTTGATCTATTTGCTAAGCATTTTATTTATACTCACCTAGACTTACTTCCATCATATTTTCAAATTGCATTTAGCAGCCAACCTTTAACTGCAAAAACTTCCGTAATTCAAATTTACTCACTTCATCATGTGCTTTCTCTAAATGTAATGCACTTTCTTACATTCATACAGTTCTCAGTGACATGCTGCAGAGCAAACATCTGGTCTGCACGTAAAGCCAAACTGGACTTCCCAATTTTTTCTCACGGTCACCTCTTGTAACCTTTCAATCAGAAGTCTGCCAAATGCTTTCCTGGGCACACTTAGCAAACTAACTCCAGGATTTTTTTGCATTCACTCTTGCTACTTTTCCCTTGGTATAGGGAAACAGTAACAGTATTCTTCCAATTGTGAGTCAGAGATGCAGTTCTCCCACAAGCATTAAACAAAGAGCACAGCTACTCCAAAAGCAAATCATATCCATATTCTATCCCTCATCTTTGTCAACCTACAGCACTTATCCTTTCCTTTTCATCAATTTTTGGTTGGACCCTAAGATTTATAGTATTAGTTGCAATTTCACTCTTTCACATATCACTAGCATTCCCATAGAGTTTTTCACAAATCCATCCTGCATGCCAACTGCACCTATTCTTGCATTGAGGGGCCCTACTAACAGTCAGTCATCTTTTGTCTGGATCACTGCAATGTGTTATATGGGGCTGCCCTGGAAGACCACTCAGAAGCTTCAGCTGGTCCAGAAGGTAGAAGTGCAAGCAGTTATGTGTACTTCTCACTACACCTCTTTGTGAGCTGCACTGGGTTCCCACTGGTACCAACAGGGTTCCAGAAACAACTCAAGGTACTAGTTATTCCCTAAAAAGCCCTTCATAGCATAGAGCCTGGTTATCTGTGTTACCACCTGTCTCTGATTACAGTACTTCTGCCTGTCTGATAAGATCTGACAGAGTTGCCATGCTTTGGGTCCCATTATTAAATAGTGTCATCTGGCAGGACCCAGAAGACATGCTTTCTCTGTCACCATTCCCCCCAAGATTCAGATGGCACTGACCCTGCCTGCCTTAAACCAGACCCTGGAGACCTGTTTTCCCCCAGGTACTGGGTCAGGAGGTTTTATGCCCATCTTGACTGCTTTTTATTGTTTTTGGTTGTTTTCGTTATTTGAGTTTTCCTATGATACAGTATGTTTCATTATATTTTAATGTGTTTGGATTATTTGCTGTTAATTCTGTACACTGCCCTGAGTGACACATTGATTGGGCAGCTATATGAATAATGAATGAATGAATGAATGAATGAATGAATGAATGAATGAATGATGAATGAATGAAATATTCAAAACAGGCTTATTTTGTAGGCAGTTCCTTTCTAGCGATTATTCTTGGGCCTTCAAAGGCCCAATCATTTTTTTGTACTCTCTCATTTTTCTCCCAACATCCCTTCATGTCTCCTAAGAGAATAATTTTGCTCCTGAATCATTGCACAATTTTCCCTAAACCCATCCTTGGTTCTTTCATCATCATCCTTTGGAGCCTAACATGTGACTAACCTGATATCTACTTTCTTATGCACCCCTAAAAATCTGATAACCAATTCTTATTTTCTGACATACATTTTAGCCCCTTCATTTATAATAAAACCTACACCTTCACTTCCATACATATATTCATCATTTCTGTTCCAAGATCAAAGCACCTTCATTCATATCTATTTCGTGCTTTCCTTTTCTCTTGATTTCACAAACACACAACATATTTAATTTCCTTTCTTTTCTTTCATTCATTAATTAATGCTCTTTACCATTTACTCCTTTTACATTCTAAGGCATAGTCTTCCATATGCCATGACTGTCATCCAGATATTGACCTCTGCCACCCATCACAGCATTAATCAATTGAGCTTTGAGCAATTTCACATAATACCTTTTAGTAAGATAAAGAAGATGTAGAGTAGGTTACCAGCTGTAGTCACATCTGTCCTTATGCAGCATTCTTTGGTAATGATAAGGACAGTAGTAGTCAACTTTGGCACATTTCTTCCAGCACACACAAAGTCCAGTTTTACCCCAAGTGTTCTTATGCAATTCTATTTAATCTAAACTAAACTTTAAATTAAAGATTGATGTCAGCCTTGTGAGGTAATCCAGATAGGAAGCATGTCCCATTGAACTAGCTCTACTTTATTGCAAGGTTACATTAACAAAATTTTGCAAGTCTGAAAGCACATTTCTCCCCTGTTATCTTTACAGCCCAAGAAACTAGGTCATTTGCCACATCCATGTTCCTTCTGCAGGCTAAGCTACCTCTTATCTGTCCATTCCCCTGGCTGTGCCTCTTAACCCTGTCCCCTAATATCATTCCCACATACCATTACACATTCATTCCTGAACCAAGAGACTCTCCTTACAGTCATTCATGTTTGGTTTCCTTGTGAATGGAACACTTCAATGTGCTCTACATGGGATGGTCCATCAAGATCACTCAGAAGCTGCAACTGATCCAGAATACAGAGGTACAAGCAGTGAAGAGCAAACCTCTGCTTTGTGAACTGCAATGGTTATCAGTAAGCTTTGGGGTACAATTCCAAAGTGTGTTAGACCCCATCTCCTGATTATGTGAATGATAGGTTAGATTAGGTCCAGCTGCTATGTATTTTTATTTTTATTTGTTTTTTTATGTTGTGTATTTTATGTATTTTATTTGTTTTATTATAAGCTGCCTAGAGTCACGTAAGAGTGAGATGGGCAGCTATTTAAATTGAATGAATGAATGAATGAATGAATGAATAAATAAATAAATGAATGAATGGTATTGGTTATTAGCTATAAAACTCTACATGGCATAGGGCCCAGCTATCTGAGGAACTGTCCATCTCCTGTAATATCTGCCCATCCTGTACAATCAGACTGAATTGGCTTGCTTCAGTTCCCATCGATTAAGCAATATCATCTAACTGGATCGAGGGAGCAGGCCTTCTCTGTTGCAGTGGCAGCCCCCTGGAATAGCCTCCCCACAGAGAGTCATTCAGCCATGCCCCACCCCACTTCAAGTCAGCTCTAAAAATGTGGCTGTTCCCTTAGGCCTTGCATTAGGGTGTCTAGCAGGCCCCTCTAAGTTGGGGGTGATATGAGAATATTGTTGTATTCTACCCTCAGGTTGATTGTTGCTGTTTTATATAGTATGTTGGGATTTTTCTTTCTATTTTTAACTTTGTGAAGCTACCTAGGGTCGTGTTTGGAGTTGGGCAGCCTAAAAATTGGATGGATGGATGGATGGATGGATGGATGGATGGATGGATGGATAATTCTTATATCAGGAAAAAGAATATTATCAGTTTGAGAACGGTGCAGAACAAGGCAGCAAAAATAATAAAAGGAATTAGAGTGCCTTTGTTACGGAGGAGGAGGAGGAGGAGGAGGAGGAGGAGGAATTATTATTATTATTATTATTATTATTAGAATTTGGCTGGAAAGTAGAACATAGAACAAACTCCCCCCCAGTCAGATGTGCTTTCAAATTTCTTTCCCAATACGGATCCTTAGGAAAATCTATTTCTTACTTCTGTCCACTGCAACAATTATTGATTGGCTGTTACTCTGCAAAAAGGTTCTCCTTACAGCTTCTGTTCTTTATTTATCTTATGCACAATTAGACGTTTAAATCCCATTGACTTCAGTAGGATTTAAGCAGCCTCTCTGTGCACATGATGGGAGCTTTGAAATGTTTTTATCTCCAAGATGTTTTTATTTTTCTTCATTCCATCCTTTTTATCTGTTGCCCTTTTGATTATTTGGGTTTGAATAAAGGATACTTTCTTTGCTAAAGAGAAATGTCTAGATGAATAATGCTAATGTTGTCCTTTAGTCATAGATAATACATTCCAAACATTGCTTTTCGTTCTAAGAAATGTCAAAAAATTACTATGACAGAATGACCAGTTCTTTATAGCAGCTTCCATGATGCCAATAGATGCAGAAACCAACAGTAAAATCATAGAAATGAGAACTGTGTTCTTTTGCCAACAATGCAGCTTAGCATTTAGTAACTGCATTTTTTAAAGTTCACATTTTTTTCACATTTAGGAAGTTACCAGACACTGGTATAAAGTACTTTTGGAAATCTTCATTTTTGTGTTAATAAAAATGGGCAAGAAGATATATTGATCTTTTTTTCCCAATTCAAGCAATTGCAGAAACAGAATAGTTTGGGGATAGGACTTTTTTTTTTTCAGTCAGCCAAAGGTGTGCTTTCACTTCCATTCTCTGGAGTTAGTGTATGGGAAGTCCCCATTGAATCGCTTTTTGAATGTTTCTGGTGTGGCTTTGTCCAGGTGGCCACGTTTTTTGTATCATATGCTTTACATATTGTAAGCTGCCCTGAGTCTTTTTGGAGTCAAGCAGCATCAAAATCCAATAAATAAACAAGCAAACAAGTAACCAAAAAAAACCAAAAAAAAACACCTACATATGACTTATACATTACATCTAGACAACAATCTTTCTTCCTTAGGAATACCTGAAAAAAATTGATAGACAACATTTTCTTCTAAACTAAGCCTCTTGGGTGACATCTCTCACCTTCCATTTCTGACACGTGGGGACTCATGGCAAGCACACAGAAATCCATTGTATCAAGAGATTTTGCTATTATCCCATGATTTTCTGCAAAGTTTTTTTTTAATCTCTGGATTATCTGCAGTAATGAAAAAAGCAAAGATAAGCAACCCTAAAACTGCAATCCTGTTCCCAGAGTTGAGTGGTAAATCCATAAAAAGGAAATGAACTGCCAAGTGACTAGCTGGTTTCAGTGGACCATTCATTCTTTTAACTTGAATTCAGGTAAACTGTACATGGCACATATATCATGAAAAACAAAACATAAAATTATTTTAAAACCTCCCGTGAAAACCCACTGAAAAGGCCTCAGCTCAACCCTAGCAAGATAGAGGACTCTGGGTTCTAGCATCCCCTGGGTCTGGGGACCTTCCATCTCTTGTTCTGGATGGGGTCACACTGCCCCAGACAGAACCTCTACATAATTTGAGGGTCCTCCTGGAATCACAGCTCCTGCTCGAAGAGCACATGGCAGTTGTGGCCAGGAGGGTCTTTGCACAGCTTTGTGTGATGTGCCAGTTGTGCCCGTTCCTGAACCAGGAGGCCCTACTGACAATGCTTTACATGGGGCTGCCCTTGAAGAGTATTTGGAATGCAAAATGCAAACCATGCAGGCAGTTATGAGTGCCTGTCATTCTGCACATGTGACACCTCTGCTCCACAAGCTGCATTGGTTGCTAGTCTGCTTCCAGGTACAATTCAAGGTGCTGGTAGTTACCTTTAAAGCCCTTCATGGCTTGGGGCTGGGCTATTAATGGGATTGTCTCTCCCCAGTTGTATTTATCCACCCTGTTAGAACTCGTAAGAGAGGCTCCAGGTCCTATCCATCAGGGAGTGCCATCTGGAAGGACCCAGGAAGAGAGCCTTTTCTGTCGTAGTACCCACCCTCTGGAACATCATCCCCCTAGAGATCGAACTCACCCGGACCCTGCTGGCCTTTCACAAGGCCTTAGACACTTGAATTTGCCATTGATCCTGGGCCCAGATTGTGTGGATAAGCCCATTTCTTGTTTGTATTGACTGCTATGAATGATTACTAGTGTGATTGTTGGTGGTGGTGGTTGTTTTTTTACTGCTATTTGTGTTATTTATAATTTTGTTGTATTGTTTTTAATTATTGTTAGCTGTGCAGAGTCATGTACTTGAAATGGGTGGCCATCTAAATGTAATAAAGAAATAAGTTTGATAAATAAAATGGAATCTTTGCAAGAGCATAGCTTTGTTGTAAAAATGTATCATGTACTTTATCCAAAGATAACCATTACATTCTTTATACTGCATACAAAGGTACAGCAGCCCATGTTTCTTTATGACTAGCACAGTTCTTTGTTTGCTTAAATGCACCAGGTGTATGCTAAGGTGGTGGAAGCAACATTAAATATTTGTACCTGTGTAGTGCTTCCTTTTGCTATCCTAATCAGTATGGTGGTGACTCATTTATTCATAAAACTTTCTTCTTTGAAAAAGTAGGTGGAAATTGGTGAGGTACTGCCCAGAACTACAAAGTTAGATCTAGTTTTACAAATTAAATGCCAAATCGTTTGACAGAGCCATCCAGGTGTTCAGAGTTTTAACTACAACTCATTGACAGGGCCATAAAAGGAAGCCTATAACTGAAGTCCACTGAATGACCTGATTCCAGAACAACAAGAATATGAATAACTGAAACCTTTCCCTTGTAACCTTAAATCAAACAAAGCGAGACAGATACTTTGAACTAAAGGAAGCAGATGCCTTTACCACTATGCAATGCATTTCTACCCAGCAGTTAGATGGGCTGAAATCCAGTTGTATCAGATCACTAATAAGGGTAGGAGAAGCCAGTAATAATACAACTTTTATGTATAGTTGCTGATACAAAGAAGTTAGATGTTTCAGCTGTTTCAACTTTTATTTATTTTAAGATGGGCTGTTGAAAGTAGTTACTAAAGGAATGCATGCACGCTTTTTATTGCTCATTCATAAATACAGCAATTATCTTAATCTTAATATGTTTTCAGCTGAATATCATAGGTACAGTATATGCGTAATAAAAGCCTTAATAAACTAACTAAGTTCAGTTTCAGTTCATTATCTTAGCATTTTATCAAATTGAGGACATTTGCACTACCTTGCTTCTCTTTGTTCATCCAACTCAATAACTTTGAAGACTTCAGAAAATATTTGATTTGGGTGTTGGGGGGACCACAGTGCTATGGAATAATGTTTCCCCTATAAAACTAAACCTTCAGGCTGTTGGTTGGTATTCAAACAAATATTTAAAGATCTAGAACTTCAGCTCCCAGATTTATTCTTGTATTTTATGTCAAAAGGGAAATCATTCCCCACATTTTCCTAATTATGTTAAATATCCATAATTTGGAATGGCCAAAATATTAAAAATTAAAATATTGTATTAATTTTATTAGGAAGAGGAGAAAGCTAATATATTAAATCAATGGCTTTAATCATAGCAGAAGTTTATGCTACTTAGGGCTGGTTCTAGATTTAAAGGAAAGGCTGAGGACCATTAACTTGATAGGCTCCATCTTCTATCAGCAGATCCTGAAGGACTGATGTGGCACCAAGGTACCACAACAGCAACAACAATCTGAGCAATGTTCCAAGCAGGAACATGGAGCTGGGCCAAGTTACCATTCCATTGATTGATAATGGAACTAAGATGGACTTGTCTGTACATTAAAGAGCAGTTCAAAAAGACAGTCTTCATTAGCCACTGGTGAGGGAGATCCTTGTTGCTTCTTTATTCTCATAATGTCTGCTGCTGTAGTAGTTGTGCCCAATAAGAAATGGGGAACGCCATGCCTAATCAGAATGTTTAGACCTATTTATAAAGGCTAGATCAAGTAATAGCTGTATTATTTGTCAGAAAGAAAATTAGCTTATTGTAGAGATAATACTAGATACAAGGGTAAGCAGAAGACCACAGTCTTCAAATCCTCCTTTGAGAGACTCTAGAGAAGGAGTCATGGTCCGTGAGCCACATGTGGCACTCCAAATCATTTTCTGCAGCCCACAACAATACTTAGAGGAAAGAATAAGCCCTACATAACTTGTGCCTCTCAGTGGGTGAGATCTTCCCAAAGCTGGAGGCATTACACTCTGTCCATTCAGTGCCTATAACAAGTGAGGTGAAAGTCAACTAGACTGAAGGACTGATGGAGACCAGGACAGGAGGATGCTGGCTCTCCCACAGCCCAGGATAATAGAAAGTGTCTCATTCCTCTCATGCCAACAGGAGAGCCACTGCTGGAACTTGGACAGTAGCTTGCTGATCATGGCCAGGTACTATGGACCCTCCCCAGGGATGTAGCTGAGCATCAGACAACTGGTAACATATTAAAAGTTGTGGTATTCACCAGGTTTATCATAGATGCTAAGGACAACTGCTCTGGACTGAGAAAAAAAATAATGCGGCTCCACACCCAGACAGGGCAGGCCTGCACTCCTAGCACTGCACTGAGTCACTGTCACACCAAGATCAAGACTGGGGCCTCCCCTTCCCTACTTGCCTGCTTCCACCACCCCCACCATTGTAGCTCCACTTGCTAACAGTCGTCCACAGTCTCCTCTAGTGATAAAGGCTTTTGTGTAAATGTCTGTAAAAGCTATTTTTAGTATATTTTTATTAGTTTTTAACAAACAAACAATATCAGGTTACTACATTAATATAAATCCAAGATACATATAGAGAAAAAAAATAAAAAAGAGAAAGTATAGAAAATACAAAAGAGATTTACTGCAGTGCTAAAAAAGAGGCAGGTACTGTACATACAAAAATAACATAACAAATGAGTTGTGCATTAACAAGGCCTCTTCAATTGTTACATTAGAAAAAATCACAGATAAAGTTAAATTAATGAGATGTCAGAGGCAGGAACCACAATTCTATCAAATTTGGATGGATTTTATGGTTTATTTCAATAGCAATAGATCATACTCTGTTATATATATAGCAAATGTTCCTATTCTGTAAAGGCTAATGAACCTGCTCTCATGTGATATTTATGATTATTGGAGTTTGAGATCCCTACCCTAGAGGCTTTTGGAAGGTAGAACCTGAAACCCAATGTTGAGCTAAATATACCTTGTCCTGAAGCACCAGGCCCTTTCTTCTGCTTTCAATTTCAAACAGTAAATTCTCATGTTCCATAATCATATCTCACAGTGCTGAGCCCATAATGTCACCACTTCTACAAAGACCACATACTGAAACATAAAGTTGGCTTTTGCTCTATGTAATATTGAACAAACAGTAGCCTTTTAATGAGATGCTTTTAAGAAGGAAATGAAAAGCACATTCAGTGAAATTTAACTTTCAATATAGAGAGAAGGTACTGTAGATTAAAAACACTGCATAATAGAAACCCTGGCTATTTAATTTGCATGTCAAGCCTCATTTAGTGACTACATTGTAAAGGGAAAAAAATCAGGTACATATTTTTATTTTTCTAAGGAGTTGGCTAGAGCAAGGTACTGGGTTTATTTAATATTTACAAAGAAGCCTTGAACCTAAAGCCAGAATAAATCAATCTGGGTGTATTAGTCTCACAAATTATTCTGCCTCTATCCATATATCTTGGGCAAATGGGATCTTTAAATGGACCCTTTCAACCTTCTCTTGACTTTTTCAGGTTATCAGAGTTGCTGCAATCAATTAGGGATTAAATTATGAGCAAGAAGCTACATTTGTTGTACCTGTAGATCTACCAAACCAGAAATATTAAAGTGCATTCATTCAAATGTTGATACCCAACAACATCCCAAGGATTATGACCATGGCTAGATCACAACTGATGCTAATGCAGAATGCTAGCTGGAACCAGGAGAGAAAGGCCTTTCATCAAAGGAGCAGACACCACTGCCATATCGAGGACCAGAAAAACCTCCAGTGCTACTTGATGTTCCTCTTTATTCAGAGACTCAAGCGCATTGAAGCAAATACAAGTTTGCCACTTTTATTGTTCACACTCTCACTAAAAGTTCTACTTATTCATGCATACATGAATACCAACATACCTCAGTGTCTAACTGGCCAGGCTAGGCTTGAGTTTCAGAAGAATCACTCACCATGACTCATTCTATATGATGGCTCCATAGGATTATACTTTCCATACATTTTAATCTTCCAACTTGGTTTGACCACTCTATCAAACTTGGTGGCTCCCACTTTCACATGTTTCTCCTGGTATTTTTCCACCAGAGTGCTACTGCCTCACCCAGTTTATATAGGAACTCTATGGTTTGGGGAACTCTCTCATCATGTCTTCTTCAGAGTCATGTCTTCTCTACTTGCTGTGTCTGTGAATTATAAGTGGCAATTTTATAATAATATATGCTTAAAATCTGCCAAATCATGGAAATTTCCACTGGACAGTATAGTGATAATAATATTGCTGTATTTACTATGTATGCACTTAAGATACATTCTTTGGAAAATTTCTTTCACAAAAATTAAGTGTTTGGATTTCACTTCAAATCATAAACTCTTGAACTTCTTCCGCTTCAAAAATAAATAAAACCCAACCAAGGCAACACATAAGATGACTAATAAACTTTAAGAGCTTTTTATTTCCTATAACAATATTTGCACCCATATTATAAATAAGGAAGGGTGTATTCCTTGTAACAATCTTATCAGTTATTCAGAAATAAGTAACAGTTGGTAAGGTTTGAAATGCCATAACGACATAGTAATGCAATTGAAATATCTCTTCTGGATTATCTAAAATAATTGCCCCTACTAAAAGTCTAATAAATAAAACTTGAACTCAGAAACTAGGACTCAGGGATGGATATATATTTCATTCAACTGAAAGTGTTCAGGTCAAAGTTGTATTTTCTTATTGCTGAATTAAATCAAGTCAAAGGTGAAGAATACAAGGGTGATGAAATATAATCTTTTGATAGTGTCCCAAAATGACTCTAGGGAGAAAAAAAAAAATCAGATAATTGAGGAATGTGAGTGTGAGAAAAATTATTGTACATTTGTTGATTTAGAGAAAGTGTATGATAAAGTGAATAAGGTTGAATTATGGAACATTTTGTGTAAATATAGAGTTGAAGGTAGGTTGCTGAATGTGTTAGCAGCAGTATGTGATGGAAGTAGATCAAGCATGAGAATAAATGGAATGCTTAATGAACATTGAGCAAAAAGTAAAACAAGACTGTATGATGTTCTCTTTGGCTATTTAATGTATTTATCAATAAATATATAAGGAATGCTTGTGGTGGTCGCAGATATGGTTTGTCTGGGTTCATATTTAGGACCCTCTTAACTTAGATTCTTGTATCTTGGCCATCCTGCTTTGCATACACCCTTCCATTTTGTAGGAGATTATTTCTGTGCGCTGTTTCGAAGCTAAGAAGGAATTTTGTCCATTCAGTCCATGAAAGCTTTTGAGAGTTATACATGCACACACACACACATACGTTGCACAGATATATTTGCTGATATTTATTGTAGAGGTTGTAGTAAGGTCACAGCTGGCAAACTCAGTGAAGGGATAAATACATGGACTTTTGCTTGCCCTTGCTAACTTATCAACATAACATCCAAACTATGAGAAACAATCAGCAGTTTGCTATACGCATTTGGATGATCTTTGAAACCAAACGCTTGGCAATATGTGAATATAAAAATATGACTAGTTTTTGTGCTATGAGTTGCCAACAAGGAAAGAAATCATGAGAAAGTTTGGATGTTATATAATCTCCTGCAAAAGAAAAAAAAAAACCTACAAGAATGCCAGCTATAAAAGCAAAGGATGTATCATAAAGAACAGATAAAGTCAGCTTCTTGCATCACAACTGGGCGATGCCTTTGAAGCTGCGTTGTGCTTTGATCCAAGCCAGGTGATAAATGTATTATGATCTAAATGGGTGATATACATCATGTTAAACTGCCTGACAGGTTTGACCCAATGAGATCCCAGGGTGACAAATGGCAGTCAAATAGGAGATTTAGATTTATCCCATCCCATGCAAAGGAGACTAAGACTGTCTACCAGCTTCCCTGGTAATAGCTTGAGAGAGAATTTGCCTACAAAGCCTGAGAGATTACCTTCTGAAAAAAAAAATCTTGTTGAAAATGAAATATATAGTTCTAAGGTAAAAATCTACATCACATGAAAAGGTTTTCATTGAAATATGAACTGAATGTCAAATGTCAAAGTGTAGGAGAGAATCCTGAAACACTCTGTGAAAGAAGATGTGAAGAAATGCCTGCATAGGAAAGGGCATTCCTCTTATTGATTGCTCTCCTTGATCTGAATTAACACAGTTGTCCTCATCAAACAGTGAGGGTTACGGTGCTGTGGGTTTGGAAAATCCACAGAAATTATTCAAGGAAAGAATGACACTCCTCTTACTGCCATGAAATACAGGGGAATAACCAGTTGGTGCCACCTCTTGCTAAGGAAGTGGCAGTTAGCTTGAAGGGACTGAGACTTCAAGAAAATATATTGGACTGTAAAGGCAACAGGGGAGAGATATACTTTCAGACTTGCAAAACTTATGTCAGCCTTGCAAGGTAGTCCAGACAAGAAGCACACACAGAAGTACTAGCTCTACCTTTATTGTAAGGCTACATCAACAGAATCTTGCAAGTCTGAAAGTACATCTCTCCCCCCCCCCTCGCCTTTACAATCCAAGAAACTAGGGATGGTCCCTTCTGAGACATTTGCCATGCCCCCTTTCCTTCTGCAGGCTCAGCTGCCACTTCTCTCACTGTTGTCTAGTCTGCGGCTCTTCCATCTGTCTCCCAAGATCATTCATTATGGTACATTATGTAGTGGCTTAAGTTCAGGGCATGGTTATGCTTGCCATATTCATTACTTCAGGTGAAGGCTATTTCCCACTGTGGTTTCAAGCCCAAAGGTAATGGAACAGCCAACATATCTAGAGCATTATCCTCATAAATTAAAAGCCACTACAACTTTTGAGTTGAAGCCAGACACAGTCTAACAGAAAGGGATGAAGACAGTAGCAACTATCAGTAATGCTGGGAAAACAACATGTGCCAGCACATCTGGTCTCTACAACATCAGGCCAAGAACCTTTTAAAGAAGAGGATGAGAGAGACCTCACTTTTCTCCCACTTCTACTGCCACTGGAACAGCAAGGATGAGAAATGAATGAATGGAAGGGTGGGTTCATTGGTGCAGTGAGCAAAAGGTGAACGGCTGAGGAGGGAGATTGCAGGGAAGCAAAACAATTTCATTTAGCTCCACATGAACCAAGTGATTCTCTAAAGTTTGGAGAAACTAGTAGCATTTTCTGAGCCTAATCCCAGCTATGATATGGGGACTTGGTCCATAATTATTCACCATAATTAGCAGGTGTGGAAGGAATGTGAATTCAGATGAAAATGGGCAGCCTCTAGTTCTAAGGACTTAGCTTTGAGCTATTGCTGCAGCAATACACTCATAAATTAGTTTCTCTTCCAACTGAATATCAGCCCTTCTGCTTGGACAACAACATGCCATTGATCAGTGTTTCTCAACCTTAGCAACTTTAAGATATGTGGACTTCAACTTCTGGGAGTTGCAGCCCACATATCTTAAAGTTGCCAAGGTTGAGAAACACTGCTCTAGATAACAGTATGCTATAGAACAGCCTAAGTGTCAGAAAGAGAAATAATCCAAGCAAGTTTGCTTCATATTACTGAACAAAAGGGGTGATTCATACATATCTTCAAGAAAAAAGAAAGTGCAATGGCATGATTGTGAAGTCACAGAATACTCAAAATTTTGATTTGTTTCCACGTATCATTAAGTGGCTAATAACTTAATATTTTTGCTTCTCAGTGTGAAAGGAAAAATCTAACCATAAAAATGTAAAACTTTCTTTTCTTGCCTGCTCTTTTTAAATATAGTCTATAATTTCAAAATAATGCATTGTTGGAAATAAAAAAACATGAGCTATATTTCTATCAGTGAAGCAGATCAACTTAAATCTTGGCCTATTACTAAAATAGAAGAGTTGGTTTTTTGTTTTGTTTTTTAATCAATAAGAATGGATTGCTATCAGTAGGATTCCTGATCTGGTACAGACACAGATTTTAAGAAAGATGTGGAATTCTACATTCTTCAGAATTATTGCTTTTGAAGCTATCTTTAGTTTTCAGACTGGCTTAGCATGTAGCAGGAACAAGTAAATTTTGAAGAACTAGTTGTACAGAACCAGAGTTGTGCCATTCTTGATCTCAGCCATTGCCTCTCAAATTATCTACCCTAAACACATTACTATTTTTGAGTAATAATCATTATGATGTATATTGACAGCACATTGTCACCTTTTCAGTGTCCCAGAAAGTTGAAGTTTGCTTCTTGGTTTTGTTATTTTTGATAGGGACAATTTGTCAGTAGTTATACTGCTTCTTTTTTGCCCCCCTCCAATTATGTTAAATCATTTTTGCAGCATCATGGGTATATAACATAAAATTATAAGGCTAGGATGTTACAAACCAAAGACCAAACTCAACTGAAGTAACCACTCACTATGTTTGACATGTATGTTTGGTGAGTTGTACTCAACAACTCTATAAAAATGCATCTAATCATGTTATATTGTGGGTTGACTTCTATGCTGTGTTAATAAGAAAGGATATGATATAGCTCAGTCACAGCTGTACTTAAAACAAAAGATGATGAATCAAGTCTGGGAAATGAGGAGGAAGCTGGAAAAGATTATATATTATATTAATAAATAGTCATGCATTGTTACATACCATGGTCAATTCTTTGATCTTTTTCAGCAAAAGGAACACTATAATCATTGCGTGGTTCATGGCTTCAAGCTAATTAATGAAACATTCTCTTCTTCAGTATCCAAAATAACACATTAAGAGATGGAACACACTCTGAAAAATCTTTTTAACTTTAGATCTGAAGTATAACATACCTCTAGACAAAAGGAAGCACTTCTTCACACATCATATACTTAACCTGTGGAATTCATCATCACAAGATGTGCCTTTAAAAGGAGATTAGGCAAATTCATAATCTATCAAGGGCTATTGATCTTAAAGGTTCAGTGTTCTCACCAAGTTGCAGGGCAGCACATTTCCAAATGCCATTTCCAGAAAACAATCTCAGGAAAGAGGTGTGTCTCCATCACCTACTTATACCCACCCCAGAGTACAGGGCAGCAGGGATGCGGGGTGCAATGCAGGGCAGCAGCGGTAGCAGGGTGGCAGAGCCCAGGGCGGCAGGGGCAATGGAGCGCAGGGGGGTGGGGAGTGCAGGGTGGCAGGGGGTGGCGGAGTGCAGGGCAGTGGGGGCAGCAGGAACTGTGGGACTGAGAAAAGGGCAGAGAGAGGGGGAGATAGGCAGGTGGGGGGAGGTGACCACAGTTACATATGTGTGACTTACATGAACCATCACCTATTAGTTGCTATGTTGTGGAAGCAGATACAAACTGTAACACACACCACTGCTCAACTCATAACTGTTTACAGTTCATAGTCATGCATCATGATTTGGTTGATCGTTCACCTCATTTAAAGGACTCTTCCGGAGCTCTCCACAGTCATGTTTAGTTTTAACTATCCTGAATCGTTTAACATTGTCTACAAGGAGAGGCCAGTTGGCAAATGCTTATCCCTAATTAAAAATAATTTAGAAAGCACTAGTTGCAGTGAGGGATCCACTTCTTATTTCCCTTCAATGAGAGTATTGACCATTAACTCTTACTCTTTGCTTTTTATTTTTTAACCAATTAGCAATTCATAAAAAGAAGGACTTCCTATCCCACCCAGGTTTACAGTATTCCAAGCTATGGTTTAGCAAAGAGGCAGACAAGTGGAATGCTCAGAATTATTACAGAAAGGGTCTAAAATAAACTATGTGCAACTCTATAAGTTCTTTGATGTGTTTATACATTTAGAATGTGTACAGTTATTGACATCCTACTTCAAAAAGGACACTGAAAGTACAGCAACCTTCTATATGAGTCACATATATGAGATGGACAGCTATATTAATCAAATGAATAAATAAATAAATATACACAATGAAACAAACATGGTTCTTGATAACCAAAACCTAACTGAGTACCAAAATGACCACAATAAAATATTTTTTTAAAAATAGCAGAAATTGCACAGCCCCAGCACAGAGCAAGACTCTGGGCTGCAGGGAGAAACGCCAAGATACATGCAAGTAGGTGAGTTTCTGCATATTGCAGAAATGCCAAGAACTGGTCCTGCCTTTGCCTTAAATAGTTATTCACTGAATTTGGGAGCTCTCCCAAATAACCAAGCTTAAAAACAAAACCCT